CAAAAGGAGACAATATCTGGTGATGTGATTTAGTCATGATCTCTGCACCGGGGTGTCTCTTAGCGTATTTGTAGGCTATACTCCTGATGATAGCACTGTGGTTAGTACTGTCAGTGGAAGAAAGGACATGGACTTTGGAGATCTCCCTACCTCCAGAAGATTGGTCAGTACCTGATGCTCTGGGGCCTCATGAAGGAGCCGGCATACATGAAGTGGTGGCACCAGTGGACCTCAGCTACTGGGACCATCCCTGACTCTTGGATGGAAGTTAGCATCTCTGAGCCCCACCTCATTTGCCTTGACTTGTTTACAAATGAAGTCTCCTGCCTGGTGTTCTGAGGGCTCCAGAGGACAGGAACCAGATGAGACCGTTTTTGTTTGGGAAATAAATTCATCACTTGTGGAATGAGACTGGATTCCACAGCATCATCCTGTGTGTGGCAGCCTGGCAGGTGACTCGTGGGCTCATATTGTCTAGACAGCCCCTGGGCACTGTGTTAAGACGCAGCAGACCAGGCTGCCACCGATGACGGTTTTATCCTAGTTTGCTCTTCTGCCCCTTAAAGGAAAATTCTCCAAAGTGCTTCCTTAAACCTGGCTTTCCAGAGTCAAAGACAAACTTCCCTGGCCTTAGATGACAGGGCAGAGCTTTAAGCTGTGCGATCTTTTGTTGCTATGGCTGTGGCTCGCTCCTTTTAGAAGCCAGTTCCTGGGGTCCACAGCCTCACAGGACTGTGGAAATGCCTGTTTTGAAGTTGACCAAGATTGGATATGATTTCCTGGCCGTTTTTGATATGCTCCTTGTAAAGCCTGCCCCGGAGCAGGCATCTCCCCTTCCATTGTTCTGAAAGATGCAGGCAGCATTCTCCTGAAGTCTGTAGCAGCAGAGCTCAGCTCTCGTCAGATTTCAGGTTCCAGTGTTTGGTGGGTCATGGGATCCCCGGACAAGATAGAATTCTCTGCCGGCTCCTGGGTCCCATGGCTTTCCCTTGACAATTCATGGCTGGACTCCTGGGTTCCTCACACTGCTAGGGATCTTGACTGATCAGCAAGCCTGGATTTTGAGCACTGAGTTCCCTCTCCTTTCAGAGGGCTCCCAAGCTTGGAGCTCTGCCAATGGATCGGATTTTCACTTCCTGAAACTTCAACCAAACTTCTAACTGGGGAGACAGCTGAACAAGCCCTGGGTGGTTGCCATGAGTGAGCAGGGAGCCCAGAGCGGTAAGAACAGGTGCTGCCAGGCTCTTCCGGAAGGACCACAGGAAGAGCTCTGCTAATGGGAGAACTCGATGCACAATGTGGACATCTAGCCTTAGGATCAGTTATTCCCAAGGTGACCACAGAAAAGATGCATTAGTGGGTGACAACTGCACCATTTTAACAAGTCGATGTCTTTTCTGTGTCTCCCTGTAGCCCCAGCTGTCCTGGAACTCACTATGTAGACCAGGCTGGCCTCCATCTCACAGAGATCCTCCCGCCTCTGCCTCCCGAATGCTGGGATTAAAGGTGTGCACCACCATGCCTGGCTTGCTATAATCATTTTTATCCATTACAGATTATTGGTTTGGGGACGTTTTTGTTTAGTGATCTAGGTGCTAATTTTGCTTAGGAGATGGATGAGCAGCCGTACCTGTCAGACCAGAGACGTTGAACTTGGAGAGCAGTGGATGTCCTGTGACTAGCCTGGCAGCACTTATACCAATAGCAACCTGCAATGTTGAACCTCAGGCATCCTCTCAGCAGGATGAGGGACGTTTTTGGCTTTAGTGGTGTTCTTTGGTGTTGGCATTGTGGGTCGAACCCAGGTTTTCTGCTAGGCAAGCACTCTCCCACTGAACTACATCCCCAGGTAAAATTACTTAACAAAGACTAATAGACCATGTTAGACCATGTTCTAGGCGCTAAGCAAGCTGTTAGTATTATTGTTGTTATTATTATTCTGTTGCTGACTCAGTGCTCCTGGGTACTCTTCTCCGTTTTGGAAGTAAAGGAACCAAGGCGTAGGGTTACGAGCTAACTTTCCCATGTTACAGTTGGAGAGTGAACTGAACTTAGCTTGGGATCCAAGTCCCAGCTGGAGTCTCGTCCCTGCAGTCAAGTCTCCTTACCATGCGGTGCTGCCCATTGCTGTCTGGGCACTTAAGTGCCGGGTTCCTTGTGTGTGTGTGTGTGTGTGTGTGTGTGTGTGTGTGTGTGTGTGCGCGCGCGCACATGCGGGCACATGCTTATGGGTGGAGATCAGAGGCTGACTTCGGGTGTGTTCCTCAATCACTTCCCACCTTATATTTTGAGACTGGGTCCCAAGAATCCCAGGGTCCCAGATCCCTATTTTCTGCCTCCCCAGCACCAGGATCACAGATGTGCACCATGATGCCCAGATTTAAAAAAAAAATTATTTACTATTTTTATTTTATGTGTATGCGTGTTTTGCCTGTGTGTAGGTAAGTGCACCCATGTCGTGCAATGCCTGCAGAGGACAGAAGAGGCTCTTGGATCCCCTGGAACCAGATTTACGGATAGTTGTTAGCTGCCATGTGGGTGCTGGGATTCAAACCCGGGTCTTCTGCAAGAACAGCCAGTGTTCTTAACCGCTGAGCCATCTCTCCAGCCCCATGCCCAGAATTTTATGTGGCTGCTGGGGATCCAAATGCAAGACCTCCTGACTGTCAGCACGCACTCTACCCACTGAGGCATCTTCCCAGCCTCAAAAATTGGGGGTTCTTGATAAACTGACTAACATGTATTTTTAAAACTAGATTTTATGAGAAAGTGCACAAAGTTTGGAAGTCTGATAAAGTTTTAGTCAGGCAGGGAGCCCATCAGTGGAGAATGGGCAGGGGAGGGGGGCTGGAACAACAGACCTCTGTAACGGACTGATGGGGTTGTTATTAACCATTCACACCTGGCTACAGATGAAATGACCCAGGAACTTCTTTTCATGACCACTCATCTTAGAATTGGTCAAAAGTGTCAACTCTGGGTCACTTCCCTTTAGGAGCTGGAGTAGCAAAATGGGGTCGATGTGTGTATGATGTACATCTTTATTTCTGTGATGGGACATCTGACGGCAGCAGCTTAAGGGAGGACACTTTATCCTGGCTCCAGGTTCAGGGAGCACAGTCTCCTGTGGCTGGCAAGCACCATGGCAGGAGCAGACCCTATGGGGCATGAGGCTGTGTCTCAGTAGATTGAGAAGGGAGGTGCCCTGACGCAGAGTTGGTCAGAAGTACAGTTAGCCTGTAGCCCCCAACCCACCCCTACAGCCTATGTCTGAAAGATTCTGCAACCTCCCAAAACAGCGCCACCCGCCGCATGCCAAGCATTCACAGGTGCATGTCGTGGGGGACTTTTCACATCCGAGCCACAGCACTGTGTTGTAAGGAAGTGGGTTTTAGTTAATTTTGTCTTTTTGAGACAGGGTCTCCCTGAAGCCCCAGCGGTCCTGGAACTCACTGTGTAGACCAGGCTGGCCTTGAACTCACAGAGATTCGCCTGCCTCTGCCTCCAGAGTGCTTGGATTAAAAAGGGTGGGCCACCATGCCCAACTTATTTTTATTTCATGTGTATGAGAGTTTTGCCTACATACATGTAAGGCAAAGCCTTATACCACATACCCTCTGCCCACAGAGGCCAGAAGAGGGTGTTGGATATCCTGGAACTGGAGTTTTGAACAGTTGTTAGCCACTATTAGGTGCTGGGAACCAAACCTGGATCTTTTACAAGAGTAGCCAGTGCTCTTAAGTACTGACTGAACCGTCTCTCCAGCTCCATGTAAGGAAGCTAAAAAAAAAAAAAAAAAAACAAAAAACCCTTTATCTAATAGTTTTATTTTTATGTGTATGAGTGTATTGTCTGCGTGTATGTAAGTGTACCTATGTTGTGCAATGCCCGTGGCCGTCAGAAGAGGACATCAGATCCCTTGAAATTGGAGTTATGGATGATTGGTAGCCATCACGTGGTGGCTGGGAATCAAACCCGGGTCCTCTGAAAGAATTAAGAGCTCTTAACTGCTGAGCCTTCTCTCCAGCCCCCTATGTAAGGAAGTTTTAAAACATGCATTTATTAAAGCTCGGGAGGCTCCATGGTGCTTATGTAAAACAGTCACATGTGATCAGTCTCTGGTGTTGAGTTGCAGACTACAAACTTCAACTGTCTGCACACACACACACACACACACACCTGTGGGGTTCTGCAGAGGGATTTGCAGAAGGTACATCTAAGCCTGCTGGCTGCTCCTTGGTGCTGGACACTGGGAAGGGCCCCTTCCACAGGCTGTCAGTGAACCCTAACTTAACATCTCTGTCAGCTTCCGTACCTACTTCGTGGAAGAGGAAGCTCAGCTTTCAATCTTCAGTGACTTGTCTGAGGATGTCTCCGCAAGGAGTCCGGTAGGAGCCGCCTGCGTCCTTGCTTCCCAAGCCTACCCTTAACCTCTGTGGATTTTGAAGTTTCTTTATGGTTGTTCTTGTGTGTTTTTGTCCTATGAATTCTTCTTTTGGCCCCAGGAGGAAGTCCCCACCCTGTTGAGAGCCCTGTAGGCAGCCCCTCCCTTCTTCAAGGTCAGGATCTCCAGGCTACAGTAGTTAAACTTACACCCCAGCCCCTGCCACATGGGTTTGTCTGCACCCCAGAGGAAAACACTAAGGTGCGTGGCATAAATCTGCCAAGAATGAAGAGGCTTGGGAAGAAGTGTGTGTGTGGGGTGACGATCAAGGTCGGGCTGAACTGCAGCTCGCTCTGGTGCAAGGTGGCTCTCGCCCAGAGCATTGTGGTGCTTTCTAGACTGACCTGAAGACTAGCCAGCATGGAGACATTCCAGCCTTGTGCTTCTCTCCTGTAAGTTAAATCTTCTGGAAGGGGCCAGATATTCACAAGATGACCCTCACTTGGCCTTCAGTACTTTCCAGACTTGCCTTCTAAGGGCTAGTCAACATGGAGACATTCCAGCATTGTAACCAGCACGGAGACAGACATTATAGCTCTGTACTTCTTTTCTTTAGGTCATCGGGAAGTAGCCAAATACCCACCCTGTCCTAATGCTGCTGACACGGTCAGGATGGCTTTGAACTCAGTAAGTGGTTAATTATTACCCTGCCCTTTTCTTTGCTTCCTCTTCCTCCTGTTATTCCCCAGTGTGTCCTCAGTGGTTTTAAGAGGTGCAGGAGCTCGGAGCAGGAGCCTCTGTGGACGTCATTTTAGGTGTTGTCAGAAAGGGTGAAGCAGGGGTGGGAGGAGGCCACCATGGCATGGAGGGCTCAGATGTGGCGGCTGCTGGGCAGAAACTGTGCCCAGTGCACTGTGTACATGTTCTTCCTGCTTGGAGAACAGCAGTGTGTAGGCAGAGGCTGGATAGGGCACAGGGCATTCAGGGAAGACAGAGAGGCTGTGAGGCACGCCAACAGTGTCTGGTAATTCGGAACAGTCTCTCTTGGGTGAGGCATTGAGTGGCCCGTCCCTCCCAGAGCCCACTCCCTAAGACAGCAAATGCGGTTGGCTTTGTCCCCGTGGTGCCTGACCAGTTCACTGTATGCTCTTACTATACACTTAATGGTTAATACGATTCGTGCTCCAGATCCTGCAGGAAATGCACCAGTGTTCCCTTTACCAGTTACTGAAGCTTGGTTTCTACTGGATCCCTTTTAAATCTTGAGCGCTCAGCCCAAGCATTCCCTGGGGCAAAGTGCTTGGTGAGTCCTGGCCCTTCTCTGGAGAGGTCAGGCCGTGGGTACATTCGTAAGTGGTTGGGATCAGGGCCAGATGCTCACCTGATTCTGCTTAGACTAGGAACGTCTGGTCTGGCTTCACTTCATAATCTTTGGACTTTCGAAGGAGAGCACTAATGAGTTATTAAGCACAGGTCAATCCTGGGAGTCTGCATGTAGGCCTCTTAAAATTCTGAACATTTGGACCAGCAAGATAGCTCAGTAGGTAAGAGTGCTTGCTGCCAAGTTTGGCGACCTGAGTTCAATCTCAGGAGCCCACATGGTGGAAGGAGAGAACCAACTCTCACGAGTTGTTCTCTGACCCCGCACATACTTGAGTGCACATGCCACGCACATGCGACGCACACGCACTAAATAAATGCTAATTAATTAATTATTGAAAATGTGAACATTCAGTGGCCTCGGCCAAGGACACCTGTTTCCATTGCTCTCTGCTGTGGTGATAAACACCATGGCCCAAAGCAACTCTTGGTGGAAAGGGTTGAGGTTGGCTTATAGTCCATCATGGAAGGAAGCCAGGGCGGGAACTCCAGACATGACCACTGAGGACACCGCTTATGGCCGGCTCTCTCTAGCCTCATCTCCTTATATTGTTGTGATAAAAACAAAATCAGTTTGTGGAGGAAACGGTTTATTTCACCTTACAGCTTATGGTTCATCATTGAGGGGATCAAGGGTAAGGAGCTCAGGGCTGGAACCTGGAGCACAAACAGTGGAGGATCACTCTTACAGACTTGCTCCTCTGGCCCCTGCTCGGCCTTCTTTCTTATGCAACACAGGCCCACCTGCCCAGGGGTAGCACTGTCCACACTGGGCTGGGTCCTCCCACATCACTCAACAACCAAGAAGATGCCCCACAGACATGACCATAGGTCAGTTCAATGGAGGCCATTCCCCAAATTAAGGCGCCCTTTACCCAAGTGTGTCAAGTTGACACTAAAGCTATCCAGCACAATTGACCCCTGGTTTATTGTATATATATCTCTCAGGTCAGAGTTCATCACTGAGGGGAGTCAGGGCAAGTTCCCTCTACCCAGGTGTCAAGTTGACAATAAGCTATCCAGCACAATTGACCACTGATTTATTGTATATTATATCTCCCAGGTCAGAGTTCATCACTGAGGGGAGTCAGGGCAAGTTCCCTCTACCCAGGTGTCAAGTTGACAATAAGCTATCCAGCAAGAGCTCTGCTAGCTTTCTCACCTGCTCCAGATCCACCTGCCTAGGGATGGTACCACCCCCATCAATTAGCAACCAAGAAAATGCCCCACAGACATGTCCACAGGCCAAGCTGATGGAGGACATTCCTCAATGAGATTCATTTTCCCAGGTGTCTAGGTTTCTGTCAAGTTGACAAAAACTAACTGCACACACCACAAGACATAGATGGGGTAACTGTGGTCCCGCAGGAGAGGCCCAGCTGTTGAAAGCGAGGAGGGAATCAAGGGAGCTCTAGGTCTTGAAGTCCAGAGGGTGCTGGTCTTGGGAAGGCAATCCGCAGTGGGATAGTGCAGCAGATTAACCCCCGGCCAAGGTCCCGTCCTTTCAGGCTTACGTAGTACACGCTCTGACCCCAAGTTTCTCTGGTGGGCATCTGTGTCCTCTGCACTATGATGCATGAAGGCATCAGGATGCTTACTGTGGCCAGCTGTGTGAGGGAAGGGGACCCTGAATGGCTCCCACTGCATATAGGCGGTGAATGTGGAGTCTGGGCAGGAGGTGACTTCTTGGACAGCAGCTGTGACTAACCTGGACATCAGTCTGGCAGTGCCGGTCATAATTTTATACCTTGATGCTAGGACCCAGAGGAGTGGCTACTAGCCCAGGGACTTCTGGCCCCACATGTGTACATAATTTTTCTTTAAATTTTTTCCTACTGAATCTAATTATCAGTCATCTTTTCTTTATTTCAAAGAACAAATAATAAAAACAGATGAATCAAACCGAAACAATAACAACAATATAACAAAGTAAAATGAAACACACACTGTCAGTTGACAGTTCTAGTTCATTCAGAATTGGAGCCCAGTTGTTATGTATGAGTTGGTGTGATTTCCAAGCCCTTGGTGAACCTGCTTGCTTTTTCCATGTATCATATAGCACACATGAGAAGAACATAACACAGTGGCTGGAGAGACGGCTCAGTGGTTAAGAGCATCGGCTGCTCTTGCAGAGGACCTGGGTTTGAATCCCAGCACCCACACGGTGCCTAACAACTGTCCATAACTCCAGTTCCAGGGAATCCGACAGCCTCTTCTGACCTCCGTAGCATTTCATGACACAGGTGCACTTACACACATGCAGGCAATACACTCATACACATAAAATAAAAATAATAAATAAAACAACTTTTTAAGTCTTTAGGGTAAGTTTTAAGTTATTTATCTTCTTTTCCATCCTTTAGGGGTCATCACCAGGTATTGGACCTTACTATGAAAACCACGGGTACCAACCTGAGCACGCCTACCCCCAAAGGCCACCTGTGGCTCCTAATGTCTACCAAGTGTATCCGGCTCAGGACTACCCATCTTCAGTGCCCCAGTACGCCCCAAGGGTTACAACGCACACCTCGACAACATCTGTCATCCACAGACAGCCCAAGTCAGGAGAACAGTGCACCTCAAGTAGGACTCTTCATACGTCTCCCCTAAGAGACCGCAGTTTCTGGGTCTGCCTTCCCTAGTGGCTCTTGTTCTTGCCTACTCTGTCACCTGCTCTGTGATGGGGGCCAGTCTGTCCCAGACTCTCTAACTGGTTAGAGCTCTGGGCACCCGCCTTGTCCCCCATTGGCAGGGGAGACCGTCCCCTCGCTTTAACGCTATGTGAGACTCCGTCCCATTGCCTGCCGCCACGTGCCTTTGGGAACAGGCTCGATGTGCGGCTCCTCTCTTGCCTTTGTGCTTTATGGATGAATTTTCTTGAATCAACAGCTCTCAAGGGTGGGAGTAAACTGTTGTCTTACCTTGAGCATAGCAGGTTGGGTTTATGTGGCCCCACATGACTTTGTGTTCAGGAGAGGGCCTGGGGTTAGCACAGAAATGCTGCTTTCCCCAGGGTCACTCAGGCCGAGGTCCTGGAGAGCCACGGACAGCAGCGGCTGAAGGTTGGTTACGCACGCTGAGTTCACTTTACTCTCCTCTTCTGCCCTGTCACTGGGACCCTGTCTCTCCAGATCCTCTGCGTCTCGCCAGCTGTTAACTCAGGCTGCCTCAGTACCAAGCCTGTCTGGTGGAAAGGGAGCAGAGGCTCTACCGACGAGCGTTTTAATGGATAGTTTGTGTTTTACCAAATGGGCCCTGGTGTCTCTGAGCAGTGTGGACGGTTAAAGATTGATAATGAGGTGGATCCTGTGGGCCACCCACCACTTCATCAGGAATCAGAACCATCAGCTTCTGGTCTCTGGAGTCTGTCTTCCCTCCTGGCTCTCCACAACCACTGTTCCTCTCCCACTGCTTCTGTCCCTGCGCCTTTGCCTGGCTCTTCCGCCCTTCCCTCTCCTCTAGCCTCAGTCTGTCTGCCCATCTTCGCCCCATCCCTTCATGATACCTTTTCTGCATTTCCCTTCCCCATACCCGGTTCTCCTTTCCCTCCATCCAATGTCTCTCTGCCCAAAGAAGTGCTTGCTTTGCACCTCTGTCTTCTGGCGACACCAGGGGCAACCCTGATCCTCAGGGACAATCTTAGTATCCAAGGCAGTTCGGGTTGTTGATGGGGGAGGAGCATCACTAGCATCTCTTCGGTAGGGGTTAGAGCTGCTGAGCATCCCATAGAACATGGGGAGCCCTCCCCAAGATGATGACCCAGCCAGAGCCATCCGGCTGAGCGTCGGGCCTTCATCCATGGCGGTTAAGGCACCTGTTAGCCAGAAGTCAAAAGGCCTTGTGTGAGGTCACACCTCCAAAAGTGGTCAGTCCAGAGCGTGGAAGGTCCCAGAACACCCTTTTGAATACTTCTACATTCTTAAGGGGATGAACAGAAAATAACAGAAGGACTGGGTTTGTTAATTTTCTGTCATTTGCCTGCAGAAGGGACAGCTATACATTAGCATGTGATTTCCACTAGAAAACCTCACTTATGAAACCTACATTATAAAACACAGTCAGTCACCCCCGGCTGTGCTTTGATGAAATCACTACCTGGCCAGGTTCTTAGACCACAGTCTTGGCCTCGCCCCCAGCAAAGTGCAAGTTGATGTCCATTCCTCACGATCTCAAAAGTAATTTAGCAGTTTTATTATTTCCTGAACTCACCTTGCAGTTATTTTTGATAAACTTGTTACTGGGGCTGGAGAGATGGCTCAGTGGTTAAGAGCACTTGCTGTTCTTGCAGAGGACCTGGATTCTGTTCCCAGCACCCACAATTACCCGTAACGCCAGCTCCAGGGGATCGAACGCCCTCTTCTGGTCTCTGAGGGCACTGTATCTGACATACACATAAATAAAAATAAGCCTTAGGAAAAAAAGAAACGAAAAGACTTGTTACCGCTGTGTAAGAAATCAAGAGGTCTACGTTTTTGCCAATGTAATCTTAAGTTCTGAAGTGCTTTTCCAAGCTATTTTGATAACACAAATTCAGAAACACCATGAGGAAATTTGCTCAAAGACTCACCCCACCTGTTTGCTTTAGCGACTGTCATGGGATTTTTCAGTTTGAATGAGAGCTCACATGCATTCTACAAGCATGTTTGGAGAATTCAAAGTCAACAGAGAAATGCCACAGGGTTGAATCAACAGCAGCCTGGGCTGTGAGGACGAAGTTGTAGATGAACAGTGCTGACCTCCACTGGTGACAAATGCCTGTCCAGAGGTGAAATGGGGCTTCTCCGTAGACATGTTCTGGAAGGAACTGGCCGGATTGTCTGCCAGCCCCAAAATGGGGGATCAAGGGCACCTGATTTAATCACCTTTACTCACCAGCTAGTTACTGATTTGGTGTTTGTTTTGTTTTATGAGCCGAGGCCACCGAGCACGCTAGGCAAGTGCTTACCTCCGAGCCTTGAGCATGTTATTTTTCTCGGCCACAATGGCATGCTGAGTCGCCCAAGGAGAAAAGTCTGTTTGGTCCTGAGTCAGGTGGACCTGTAGGAATTCTTCATGCATTTCTTGGTTCTGCACCCTGGTGCCTTAAGGCAGAGTCACCCCTAGTTTTCCTTTTGATAAAATCGCTACCTGACCAGATTCTCTCCCTGTGAGCTTGCTGGGAATGCCGGCTGATGCCCACTCCCTGGTGGGGACTGAATCGCTGTTGATGGGGACTGGGACCAGTTCTGAGAATTCTTTGAAAGCCTCAGAAGCATTAGCAGGACTTAGTTACAAGGGGAGAGATGTGGCTTCCAGTCCTAAGGAGGGTCCGCTCCGGCCTGGCCAGCTCCAGAGCCTGACCTGATCTTGCCCTGAAGCTCAGATACATGCAGGTGGGGGTCCAGGTCTGCAGACACCCTCCAGCCAGGGAAGGTCTGCCTCTGCCCTGCTTGGCCCCACCTCTCTGTCTCTCTTCCAAGGAAAGCTTCAAGGACTTGAGACAGGGCCTGCACCCTGAGTGGGAATTGTGGAATGATGGGCCCCTAACCCAGTATCAGGGACAAGCCTTAACCCAGTATCAGGGACAAGGTATCAGGGAGGGGGAGTCCCTTCCCTGACATCTGGCTCTGTCTTACAAACCTTCTCCAAATTATTTTCTTCATAGCGTAGTCTTTGCCCCGAGCTCACTGACCCTGTGGTCAAGTCAAAGGGCCTCGCTGGCACCGGAGATGTACGCCAGCCGCCGTGTCCAGGACAGTAGCTGCTGACCACATGTGACTTTTTGTTAGTTTGTTTGTTTGTGGGGGAACACCACAGATTGCATGTGGTGGTCAGCAGAAAACCTGTGAGAGTTGGCTCTTTCTTCCACCTTGTGGGTGCCAGAGAGTTTGGAACTTGGGTTAGTGGGCTTGGCGGCAAGTGCTGTTGCCCACTAAACCATCTTGCACTTGCTTAGCTCTCGGGCACTTGAATTTATACACCTTTAATTCCACTTAACTTTATTTTAAAAAAATATTTTATTATTTTTGTTTTATGTTTATGAGTGTATTGCCTTTGTGTATGTAAGTGCATCCGTGTTGTGCAATGCCCACAGAGGTCAGAAGAGACCATCGGCTCTAAAACTGGAGTTATAAACAGTTGTTAGCCGTCATGTGGGTGCTGGGAACCGAACCTGGGTCCTCTGCAAGAGTAGCCAGTGCTCTTAACTGCTGAGCCATCTCTCCAGCCCCTAATTCCACTTAACTTTATTTAATGGAAGTCTCAGTAGCCATAAGTGGCTAGTGGCTGTTGAAGGGCAGGATGGTTATGTGACCGACTTCATTTCAGACTGCGGCTGCTGCTTTTTGTCCACCTAGAGCATGAAGCTTCATGCTCCTGAAGTAAGACGGCCCCCCCTCCACCCCCATGCACCAGCCTTAGCATTCACACCGACATTTGTGTATATATAAGGGACACTGTTCTTGGGCTGGGCCTGTAGCTCAGGGGTAGAGCTTGCCTAGCTTGTGTGAGGCTCTGCATTTGATCTCCAGCATGCAACAAATGCATAAAATTTAAAATGTATATTATTTCTGAATATGGTACTGGAGGGTCCCTGCTTACAGTAGCTGAACAAGGATTGTGGACTTTATGGTGGTGTGGCAGCGTACCATACCCATAAACCATCTGCTTTTAAGTTCCAGTGTGAGGTGCCTGTGGAACACAGCACTGTGTGATAAACAGGTTTTGTGTTGGTGGTTTTACCCAGGTATAGATGATTCGAGTGCTCTAAATCAGTTTAAAGATGGCGAGTTTAGCTGGGATGGTTGGTAGGTTATGGTATTGAGTGCACCTTGGATGTGAACATCTGATTTTTTTTTTTTTTTTTGAGATGGGAGCTCATGTATTCCAGGCTAGCCTTATATTCCTGCCCCTCTAGACGACCCAGCGTTGAGGGTTACAGGCATGCACCATCATGCCCCTCTTAACGTGTGCCACTGAACTCTGGGTTATCAGGACTCTGTGGTCACTCTGTGGGACACTGAGAAGCACGGGGGAAGGACCGTCTTCTTACACTGCTGACCTGAGCATCCTTTCTTCCCTCTCCCACAGAGACCAAGAAAGCACTATGTGTCACCCTCACACTGGGCCTTGTCCTCGCGGGTGCCGCTGTGGCCGCCGGCTTGCTTTGGAAGTTCTGTGAGTCTTGGGGTCTCCCTGCTGCCCACCTGGCGTGTGACTGTGACCCTGCTCCCCAGGCTGGAGCGGCCACCCAAGCCCCTAACCCACCCTCCCTTATCTTTCTGTGCCCGTGGCCCCTCCTCTGGCCACCTCCTGTCCTTGCAGCCTGTGTTCTCGCCACTGGCCTGGGGTAATTCAGACATGTGGTCGCCAGGTGGCTCCCCGAGGTCCACTGGGTGGCAGAGAATGTGTGAGCACTGCTCAAACCCAAGGGGCCTTCCCATCAGCTCCACTGAAGACTGTGCCCAGCTCTGTGTGTGTGCTGACGATGGTACACTCCTTCCTTAGTGGGAAAGAAGGTGTTTCCTCCTGTTAGGGCCCAGAGGGGAAGGACAAAAGTCCTGAGGGCTCTGGGGCTCCGTGGTTGCTCAGCCTGATGAGTCTCCCTCCCTGCTTCCTATTTCCTCTCCCAGTGGAAGATAAATGCTCTGAGTCCGAGATGGAGTGCAGCTCTTCGGGCAAGTGCATCAGTTCCTCTCTCTGGTGTGATGGGATATCGCAGTGCCCCAATGGGGAGGACGAGAACCGGTGTGGTGAGTTGGCCCTGGCTCCGGAAGCACTCCTTCTACCCGGGGCACTGGGCTCTGCGTGTCTGCCATAAAGTAGGAGGAGGGGGTGTGGTGCCAGCCAGGCAGGGCTCTGCCAGCCCTCGGACACAGATTCCACAGAATGCCTGCTGGGGCCAGAGCCTCAGCTCAGAGGGTCTGTGTCCCTGCCCTGCATCTCACAGAATGCTGGGGAGGCGACAGCCAGCAAGGACTCTCACTCAAACACCAGCGCTCCCAACTGCCACAGGATGCCGGCCAAGCCAAGGGGGCTGCTTAAAACATGCTGTGCTGTTTTCAAAACAAGCTGCCGTCAAAGTTACGTCCGTCGTCCCAGCAGAGCGTGATCTGTTTGCTTTTAGTCTTCCAACTATTTATTCATTAGCCGACAAGTTAAACTTGTGTTTATTGCATTCAGTGGTCTCTCTGTGTGTTTCCTGTGGATGGAGACAACCAAGCTATTTAACACGCAGCCCCTGACCTTTCCTTTGCCCTCTGGCGGACTTGCATGGTCTGCTAGAAGTTTTTGGATGGATGATGTCACTGTTGACATCACCATATTGCTCTACAGACCTCTTGAATGTGTTCCTCCTGAGTAATTAAAAGTTTGTGTCTGTTGGCCAAGATGTCCCCAACCACGTCCTCCTGGGCTTTGGTGGTGACCGTTCTGTTCTCGTGAGTGTGCCTTTTAGATCCTACATGGGAGTGAGAGCCTGTGGTGCTGGTCTCTCTGTAGCTGGCTGATTTCCTTAGCTTGGCATCCTCTGTGTTCACCCATCTCAAGTGGTGGATCACATCCTTTTTCATGGTTGAATCCTATTCCATTGTGTGTACACACTGCAGTTTCTCTGTTCATGCGTCTGCTGACCAGTCTTGCATTGATTTCCTGTCTTGGCTGCTGGGGACAACACTCCACTGGTTGTGGGCGTAGCTGTCTTTGATATGCCGGTGTCTTGTTTCTAGATGTGGGATTGTTCCATGATTATGTGATATTCTTTTTCTTTTCTTTTTTTTTTTTTTGGTCTTTTTGAGACAGGGTCTCCCTGTAGCCCCAGCTGTCCTGGAACTCACTATGTAGACCAGGCTGGCCTGGAACTCACAGAGATCCACCTGCCTCTGCCTCCCCAGTGCTGGGATTAAAGGTGTGCGCCACCACGCCTGGCTCTTTTTCATTCTTTTAAGGAGCCTCCACGTGGTTTTCCTTGGTGGCTGAATTAATTCAGATCCCCACCACCAGGGTCAGAGGCTCCTTTCTTCCTCTGTCCTCACCGACACTTGTTACCTTTCATCTTTTTGGTGACGGCTATTTGGTTAAAAACAGGAGAGAGATAACATCCCTTGAAATTTCATTACTGCATTTGTCTTCTAAATATGTTTATTTACTATGGGGGGCATGCATGCGGAAGTCAGAAGACACTTGTAAGACTCAGTTCTCCCGGGTGATGATCACACTCAGGCTGTCAGGCTTGGTGGGAGACACCTCTACTGGCCAAGCCACCTCATTGGCCTTTGTGTTGGTTTTTCTATTTCTAGTTCTGTTCATTTTCTTTTCGTAAAGATTATTTTATTTATGCCCTGCGTGGTAGTACACGCCTTTAATCCCAGCACTCAGGAGGCAGAGGCAGGTGGATCTCTGTGAGTTCAAGGCCAGCCTGGTCTACATAGTGAGTTCCAGGACAGCTGGGGCTACAGGGAGATCCTGTCTCAAAAAAGACCAAAAAATTTATTCATTATTTTTATTTAATGTGTATGAGTGTATTGCCTGCAGGTAAGTGCCCCTGTGTCATGCAGGGCCCATGGAGATCAGAAGAGGGTGCCAGATTCCTCCGGAACTGGAGTTACGGACAGTTGTCAGCTGCCATGTGGGTTCTGGGATTCAAACCTGGGTCCTCTGCAAGAGCAGTCAGTGCTCTTAACCTTGAGCCATTTCCCTGGTCCCAAGTTCTGTTAATTTTTTGAAGGTAACTTCAAAGGACTTGGAGTGATGCTGGAGAGCAGCAGGATTATGCTAACTGTGTTCCATGAAGGGTCCAAAGCTGGGTGGGTGTTTGTTTTCCATCCTGGCGCCGTGGGCCGAGTTTCCTGCCTGGCAATCCCACGTTGAAGGGATAGAACGAATAGGAGGGACCCTGTCTGTGGACCCCATGTTTCATGGCTCTGCAGTTGACAATGGGCCTCTGCCTCGCCCCAGAAGAGCTGCCCTGCCCTGTCCTGTTTTTCTGCCTCCTGTGGAACTTATTCCCCAGCTAATGCCCATGCCCAGGGCCTGGCTAGCGCTGGCTCAGCCTCTGTCTCTGCCTTACTTCCTGTTCTGCGCAGGCATACCCGGAAGCCGTTCTCCTGAGTGGAAAGTTCAGAATTGTAGTAGAGACTAGAAAGAAGTCTCTTGAGGCTGTTCTCTACCTGTCAGTGGTCTGCGGTCCTCTTGGGGTTTTGAGTGAAAACCCCACATACCTCCTAGCTGGCTGAGAATGTTTTTGCACCTCTCTGCGCCCCCAGTGAGGACACTGCACCCTCACCTCCATGCCTCTGTGTGTGAGACACTGTGAGGCTGGGCCTGCTCAGAGAACTCCTAGTGATGAGGGTTGGCCTCCTAGGACCCAACTGTTGTGCCCATTTGTGTAGACAGATGCCTGGTCTACCCGGTGCCTAGGTCTCTGTCCCTGGCTCCCCATCGGGTACGTGCCTGGGACATACTGTGTACAGCTTAAGCATAATTCTTTTCCTTTTAGGGTGACAACAAATTTGACACCATTGTCTTAGATTAAGGGCAGAGTGCCTGGGTTAAGAGTGGCTAGGGTCACCTGCAGTGGACTCTGTGTTCCTGAACTTGGGCTCATGGGCAACGAACTCTTTAAGAGGGCTTTTCTTTCCCTTTCCTCTATCTCATTTACTTGATTTTATTTTGATGTTGGGGGTGGGACCCAGGACCACACATGGAGGGAGGTGTCCTCCACTGCACCATATCCCCAGGAACACCCCACTTTTTTGAGGCAGGGTCTTACTAAGTTGCCCAACCTGGCCTCAACTGCTGTTCCTCCTGCCTCCACCTCCTGAGTGCTGGGATTACAGGCACGTGTTGCACCCAGCCAGGGAGGCCTCAAGCTCCTTGTGGTATCTGGAGGGTCTGTCTTCTTCATATTGAAGTTGTATTTACTTAAATATATTAACAGTTAATGTACCTACATACGTGACAGTCCAGGAAGGACAGAGGGTCTCAGTTCTGCTGACACCACACGCATGTACCACATAAGCACACCTCACATACCACACATACCTCACACACCACTCAGACCTCACACACCACATACTTACATACCACCCATACATACAAGCACCACATACCACCCAGACCACATACTCACATATACTACACACATGCGCCACATGCCACCCATACCCCACACATACATACATACGCTACACACATCACATAGGTGTGACTATTACACACATGTACCACACATGTACCATACCCCCACATACACACAAAGACTACACACATATACACAGGTACCACACATCACATACACACATTTCATAGATATACACCATACCAGCTACATTAGTCACTTTTCTGTTGCTGTGATAGAAACACCATGACCAAGGGAACTTATAGAAGGAAGAGTTTATTTGAGCTTATGGTTCCAAGGGGCAAGAGTCCATCATGGCAGGAGGCATGGCAGCAGAGGTGGCTAGAGGAGGAGTTTGAGCTTATGGTTCCAAGGGGCAAGAGTCCATCATGGCAGGAGGCATGGCGGCAGAGGTGGCTAGAGGAGGAGTGGAAGCTAAGCTCTCATATCTTCAAGCAGGCACAGGAAATGAGAGTGACTGGAGATCCAGCAAGGCTTAAGAACTCTCTAAGCTACCCTGAGTGACCTGCTTCCTCCAGCGTGGCCACACCTCCTAAGATCTCCCAAAACAGCGCCACCAACTGGGGACAAAATGCCCAAATACTTGGAGCCAATGGGGGCATTTTCATTCAAACCACCACATCATACATGAATCACCATACCATATGTATATGGGATATATATGAGTGGTTGGTGGTGTAGTGGTGTGTGTACAGGGTGTGGTGTGGGGGGGTATATGTGGTATGTATATGTGATGTGTTGTATGTATGTGTGTAGTATATGTGCATTTATTTTCTGGGTGATGTTTGATACAAGTGTGTGTGCATGATATGAGGTGTGTCAGCAGAACAGAGGAGAGTTTTCACACCATACACATATACACACACCATACACTACCCATACCACATACACAGCTGTCACCCGAGTTCTCTTAGGGTCCCTTGCCCCTGGAGCGGGTAGACAAGCCTACAACACATCATTATCTGAATTTTTCATAGTTTATATCTTTGGTATTGGGGAGGGGAGGAACTTACAAAGAAACAAACACCCAACACCTGGCACCCAGCTCTGCGCGGCTCAGCCCACCATTCCAGATTGCTTCCACGCCTGCCCACAGTCTCCATCAACTTTTGCCCACACATTACGGGCCCACAATCTCACCCCAGGTCGGTAAATGGCCCCTCTCATATCCACATGGGCAAGACACTGGGGCCATCTTTCCACTCCACTGCTTCCCTTCCAAGATGGTGCCCCAAAGCCCCTCTCTCCACAGCTAACTCTCCACAGTCAGTCCTCCACAGCATGCCCCACCCCTCGGAGGAACCAGGCTGCTTGGGACATACTCCACCCCGTCCTCTGCTCTTACAATCTTTCCACCAATCTTCTGCTAAGGTCCCTGAGCCTCGGAGGGGGTGACAGATGTAGGGTTATCTCTCCTCTATCATGATGAGATAGTGACTTCTTAGTCCTCCCCATTATCTGTCTTTAAGCTGTGGCCATTGCTCTATCTCAGTGGTGCTTCTTCTACTATAAAGACAAATGGAAGCAAGTAGACACATATAAACAAACACGAATGTAAATGCAAATGCCTAGAAGATATCCCAGTAAGTGCACTATATTCATTAAACAATATAC